GAATGCAAGTTTCACTAGTGTGAGGTTCTTTCTGCCCTGTTCTCTGTTGTATTCCCAATGCCTAAATCAGTATCTTTAAGCTTCCATTGAATGAATATGTGAATTTATGTATATATTAACATATACCTACTCTTCCAGCCTCCTCTTTAACCACTTCTCCCAAATACTTCCTTTGCTCCAGTCATAGGGAGAAAACATATTCTCTGAAGTGTCATGATGTTTCAAATTCTCTGCTTTAATAAATGTTATTCCTTTACTCTGATTGCCTTTTCTCCCTCTCCTCTATTTTTTGCATAGTGACTCCTAATTGTTATTCATAACAGCTCATCCTGAACCCTAGTTTTATATACTCTTTCACAACAGTTTATGCTTATTTTGATTACATTGTGTTTTTCTTTGTTCACATTTGTTTATTTTCTTATCTTTATGCCTTACTAGACTGAGCAACTTGAGAGCAGCGACCATGTCTTACATGTTTTTGTCTCCTTGTTGCTTTGAGAGACATTACAAGTTCCCAGTGAGTATGTATTGTAGGACTAGATAGTCTTTCATGCTGTTATATGGTACTTTACCCCATACTACTTTCTTGGTATTGATCAGCTAAAATTATTTAATTCAGTACTTCTTTTACAGCATTTTCCTAAATTGTGATCATGCCACATATTATTAATGTGCTCCCCAATCCAGGTGGATGGTCTCCAAGGGGCCAGTTGGAGGAAGGTTTTCTCTCTTTCTGTTCCTAGTCCCTAAAAAAGAAGTTACAAATACAATTTTCCACAGTCTAGGCAAGTAGCATAAATGAGCACAGCAGGCAATAAAATACAATAGGGAGTGGAGAGGACTGTGGTGAACTAGAGAGTATAGATTTAATTGATTTAGATGAAGCAGTCGCTGCTTAGTTACACTTGATTTTTGTCATGCAGAAATGTAGGGGCCGGGGGTCTAATTATTCCACTTTTTAAAAAGGAAAAATGCTAATCTGGATCTTTAGCAGGATGTCTTGATTTTTTAGACTCTGTGTAGGCTAAACAAAGCACATCTGTGTGTTAAAAGCAACCCAAGGATCTGTCTGCTTGCAACTTCTGTGATTTAACTCCTTTGAAGCTCTGTAAGTGCACAATGGCCAAGCCAATTCACAGCATATCTAGAACTGGGCCCTTGTGTGCTAGACTTATTTGGTCAGCATTCTGGGACTCCCACAGTCTACAACGATGTCATCCATTTCTGAAATCCTGTGACAGTGATATGTGTTGGAGATGCGGTTTGATATAATATAATTTTAAAGGACCATGGACTTTGAAGACAGATGGACATATATTTGAAGCCCTTCTCTGCAAGTTATTTAGTTATGTCAGTTTTTTGATAATTACTTAAACTCTCTGAAGCTCAGTTTACTGATCCATAAAATGAAAATGATGAGACCGTTATCATGGTTGTAGTAAAGATTTTTTTGTGACAATGTGTATAAAATGCCTGCAACAAATAGTGCTGCCTTGTTTGGTTGTTCACCAATCTTGATGGAGTCAAAACTATTTCCCCCCTTAGATACTCATAGATTTTTTTTGGACTCTGTGCATTTTGTGTTTTCAAAAGATGGTAAATCTCACATAAAACAGTGAACACATACTTCTTTTTCTGTTCCCAAAGATCATTTTTAAATTTTATCAAATCAAGACTTTTATTAATTTAAAGGAAATCCAATGAGGAATCTTAATATATCAAAGGATAAAGGGGGAGCTACTCTGGTTTAAGCAGAGGTAGGGATGGCAGCAAAGCCATGCACAGTCAACTTACTTTGTAAGATATTGCCACAGGCTGGTTGCTGTGACTCATGCCTCTAATCCCAGCAGTTTGTGAGGCTGAGGTTGTTGGATCACTTGAGGCTGAGTTTGAGACTAGCCTGGCCAACATTGCAAAACCCCATCTCTGCTTAAATAAATAAATAAAATATTGCCAAAGGCTCCCAAGGTCACTGAGTAGAATATTAGCTTTCTATAGATAAGGGTTTGAGAAACCCTGGGCTAGGGAATAATCCTTTACACTCAGGGCTTCAATAGAGGTCTATAATTTGACCCATTTATTGACAAAGTGAAGTTTCTCTAGAAATACAGTATTGCATCTCCAGTAGCAGCTCTAAACTTCTGCTACATGTGTACCCATATTTCTTAAGTGCAGTCATGCTGATGAAGGCTAAAGAAATTTTGCTTCGCAAAGCTATGTCTTTGAATAGCTGTGCACTGATGACTCACTGATGGTATTTTAGTATTGCTTTGGTTAATTGTTAAATTTTAAAATGAATATGCCCATGCCCAAATTGTATTCCATACAGAAGTCCAATTAATTTTGAAGCAAGAGTTTGGTCATAACTGAAGTATTGAAAAATTACATCTTCCCATTTGAAAGCTGTAACACCCATCAGGTGAAATAACTGCTGTAACACAATGATTGCTTCAGTGGGCTGAGTCTCTGAAAACATTTAAAGAATATTTTAATGCACCATGTCAGACTAGGGAAGCTTCATTCACATGGTGACAGCTCCTCCTTGTCTGCTGCGTATAAATTACTTGCTAAGTAAGAGAAAGTACTTAAGGGAAATTCACTAAATCTGGCCAGAAAGGGAAAATATTTTTTTGTGTAAAAGCTCAAAAGCACAGGCAACCAAAACAAAAATAGACAAATGTGATTACATCAAGCTTAAAAGCTTTGCAGAGCAAAGGAAACAATCAGCAAAGTGAAAGGACAACCTACAGAATGGAAGAAAATATTTGCAAGCTATACATCTGACAAGGGATTAATAACCAGAGTACATAAAGAGCTTAAAGAGCTCAATAGCAATAAAACAAATAATCCAGTTAAAAATGGGCAAAAGATTTGAATAGACATTTGTCAAAATGAGATATGCAAATGTCTAAATATATCTATTATGTATCATTAAAAAAATAAAAATAATTGGCCAGCAAAAAGTAAGGCCTCCTAATAAAGGGAGGAAGTAGCCACCAGTGACTCTTCCGATCCCGGAAAGACTTGCATTGCCCACCAAACACAACCCTTAACCATTTGTTGAAGCCTGGAGTCCCTTTAACAAGGGGAAAAGCTTCTCAATTTTTAGAGAGGATATTTATCATCTCCTGTAGAAGGAATTATAGAAATAGAAACTCAACTGCATCCCAAGAGGCAGTGTAATATAGTTGGCAAGCACATGGTTTCTGGAGACAAACACTATGGGCTTGAAACCCTTCTCTGCAGCTTAACTAGTTGTATGAGCCTAGACAACTCACTTTGCCCATCTGCCTCAGTTTTCTCTTCAATAAAATGGTGATGAGTATTACAGTTGGACCTCCATATCCGTGTGTTCTGCATCTGTGGATTGAACTAACAGGGGATTAAAAATATAGTCATTCACCATATAGTCTATCAATGATGGAATATATATATGGCAGTGATCCCATAAGATTATAATACCATATTTTATTGTAACTTTTCTATGTTTAGATACACAAATACTTACCATTGTGTTATAATTCCCTACAGTATTCAGTATAGTTACATGCTATACAGGTTTATAGCCTAGAAGTGATAGGCTACACCACATAGCCTAGGTGTGTAGTAGGCTATACCATCTAGGTTTGTATAAGTACACTCTAAGATGTTTACAAAATGATGAAATCACCTAATGTTGCATTTCTTATAATGTATCCTCTTTGTTAAGCAACACATGACGTCACTAAAAAAAAAAGGTCAATACTAAAAAATAATACACATAAAATACAGTATAACAACTATTTACATTACATTGTATTATATGTAATCTAGAGATACTTTAAAGTATACAAGAGGCTGTGCATAGGTTATATGCAAATACTATGCCATTGTACATCAGCGACTTGAACATTTGCAGATTTTGATATACACCAGGGATCCTGGAACCAATCTCCATGGAGACCAAGGGATGACTACACTGACTTCAAAGGCTTAATGAGGATTCATGTGTGATTGTTTAGATAAATATTGTCTTATTTGCCCATATTTTTGAATATGTAGTTTTGAATATTTGCCAAACAGTGTGTTGAGAATTTTGTGTGCATTTCCATGTGTAATTCTCACTACAGTTCTGTGTGATGGCTACTATTAGTATCTCCTTTTGACAGAGGAAGAAATTGAGGCACAGAAATGGTTATGAACAGTCTCTAATAAGTGGGGAAGGCAGAATACAAAATCATATCTGTCTATTCCATAGCCTATTTTGGTGGCCCCTATATTATACTCTCCCTCATCATATTTCATCTGGAAATGGCTTAGCAGTTGATACTTGCTAAAGGAGATGCTACTTTTTCCAAAGTGTTCCCCAGCAAATATTTCTAAATTATACCCTTGTTCTACAAGGATATAATCCTCCTGCTTCAAGGAACTCCTGCCTATCTATGGTGATGAGGCTAAGGTGCACATAAAAATTATGAAATAAACAACAAAAGGCTTACAATATGAGATAACCAGTAATTTCCACTTTTTATTTTATTAAGAAGCAAGAATTTTTTTAAAAAAGCAATTACCTAGACATAGTTGCAACTTTTTTGTCTTTTCTCCTGATTCTGTCTTCCTCAAACCTAAGGTCACAATATAGAGAAAATGAATTGTTAGTTACTTGTCCACGGTAATGTTTGAGTGAAGGAACACTGGTAAGAATTGGTCAACGTATGTATGAATGCCTGTTCAACAAGGAGATTAGACCCAATTAACAATAAGATTTTACTCAGTGTACTTCAATGTTCATTTTTAGAAAATCTGCTTTTCATATCATATCTCCATGAGAGACAATGTAACATAAAGAAGCCTGAATTTAAACTGGCTGCATCCAAATCCTGGTCCTGAACTTGTTATCTGTATAACCCTGGAAAAGTTATTTACACCCTCTGTACCTCAGTTTCTTAAGTCACAAAACAGGGATTATAATAATAGTACTTGTGCCACAGTATAATTGTATTTAAAAAACTAAAGCAGCTCCCTGCACACGTAGTGTCGCCGGTGCTGCCTCCTGCTAGCCCCGGACCCAGCGCCTGCCGTCATGGCTCCCGGCAAGCTCGCCTTGTTCAGTGTCTCTGATAAAACCGGCCTTGTGGAATTTGCAAGAAACCTGACCTCTCTCGGTTTCAATCTGGTCGCTTCCGGAGGGACTGCAAAAGCTCTCAGGGATGCTGGTCTGGCAGTCAGAGACATCTCTGAGTTGACAGGATTTCCTGAAATGTTGGGGGGATGTGTGAAAACTTTGCATCCTGCAGTCCATGCTGGAATCCTGGCTCGCAATATCCCAGAAGATAATGCTGACATGGCCAGACTTGATTTCAGTCTTATAAGAGTTGTTGCCTGCAATCTCTATCCCTTCGTGAAGACAGTGGCTTCTGCAGGTGTAACTGTTGAGGAGGCTGTGGAGCAAATTGACATTGGTGGAGTAATCTTACTGAGAGCTGCAGCCAAAAACCACGCTCGAGTGACAGTGGTGTGTGAACCTGAGGACTATGTGGCAGTGTCCACAGAGATGCAGAGCTCCGAGAGCAAGGACACCTCCTTGGAGACTAGACGCCAGTTAGCCTTGAAGG